TCGTCATCAGATGTAATATTGTCTTGTGTTTTTGTTATATGTGCTCCTCGCTTCTATATGTCGTTCAAATCTTATGTGTTGAACTTAAATGATGATCAAATACATAGTATCTTGTGCTGACTCTTGAAGGGTCGTATTTGCAGTTAGCTGCCATTCGCACTCATTCTGAGCAATACGTACATCTTTACAGTGTTCTTTTGCAGCCATAAATTTTTATTGTCGCCACCCCTGTCCGTCCGTCCGTCCGTCCGTCCGTCCGTCCGTCCGTCCGTCCGTCCGTGTTAACATCAAGTGTTTATGTGTTAACTAATTGGTCTGGTCCAGACTTAAGAGTTAAAAAAAATTTAAGAGTTTAACTCTTAAACTATCTGTAAAATTTCAAATGGACACTCATAAGGAGTTAATTTTTATCTTGATGAATGAACTCCTTAAACATGGACAGTTTGCTGTCCATCATTTCATTAGACTTAATTGGAATTAGCTCCCTTGGGTCAGTCTTGTATGTAGTTAATTTAAATGAAAAATATTGCAATCTCATTGGTAGATTTTAGGAGCCAATCAAAAAGCCACAATTTGTTTTTGGCGCAGTTTTAGGAGGTAGGAAAAAGGGCCAATCAGAGAGCTATTTTACGGCGCAATTTTAAGGGAAGAAGTCCAGGCCTCATCTGAAAGTAAGTAGGAGTTAATTTGTTTGTTTTTTCAAGTAAATGTTTTCACCCAGATTTAGTAGGCCTACTTTTGTTAACTCTTGGACTTTAGACTTATGTTATTTTCCAGATTAGAAAAATATTTAACAAAACACAAGACAATGTTATGGAATATAACATTCCATGTGCTTAACTAACATTCCATTGCCTAGAAGTGTGTTATATTCCATGATATTGTCTTGTCTTTTGTTTTATATGTGCTCCTCAATTCTATATCAATCAAATCTTATAGAAAAATATTATTTATTTAATGTGCTCGTAGTAGAGTGTTCAGGACACATGACATCAGCCATTGAAATGTCAGAAATCTACAAAAATTACCTTATTTCAATGCTAGAATCGAAGGAAAATTTGGATTGAATTTGATTAATATGAACTTTTAAAATATTTATTCATCGAGATAACTGTACAAAACATGAGATTTAGAGACAGCAATTTTTTGTTTTATGATATAAAAAACTGTTTTAAACCCTAAACCTAACCTCAAACAGTGTAAGCGTCAATACTTCTCCCTAGCCCTGGGTTTGAACACTGTCTTTTTGTGGCAGTGGAATAGCTCAGTTGGTAGTGAGTTGGATTGCCATCTGCTAGGCATTTAGGTGCCGTAGGTTCGCATCCTCCTTGAGGTAAAAATTCTTAAACTTAAAATGAATTATTAAAATTTCATTTTTAGAAATCAGCATGTTACAAACATGTTAAGAGCAACAAAAAGAAAAAGAAAAGGTTCCAACCTTGCAGTAGCTGGTGGTAAGTATTAATATCAATAAGACACAACCACAGGAATTTGTTTGACCTTTATTTTAAGAGTTCTATTTGAGTCAATTTCTGTAAAAGTGACAATGGTTGTGCTTAAATCCCATATTGTCAAGTCTTGTTTATTTTTTATGATTTCAACCAAACAAAGGCAAGAAAGAAAAAAACAAAAACAGCCAATCAATGTCATAAGATTTTATCGCTTTTAAAGTAAACCTCTCAAATTTAAAAATTACGTACCAAAGTACCCAATATTTAACACAACAGACAAATGTAAGTTATAAATGTAGGACATGGGGACAAACATAGATACAATGAACAATATACAAATGACTAAAAAAAAGAAAAAAAAAAAAAAATGATGGACATAATACTAATGTGTGATCAAGTACATGACTAAATAAAAAATTAACACTTAATTCATTTTTATTTCTTGGACAAATTTTAATACCCATAATTCTTCTATATTCCTATCATTCTAGATAAAAAATGGAAACCACATGGACAATTTCAGTGGTTGAAATAGCCATTTTGAGTGCCATTTTGATAGTTCTGTGTGTTATAGCATTTATCATATGTATGACATTCAGGAGATGGGACTTTTTGTTTCAAAAGTGGAATACAGACTTGGCTTAAGTGAGTCCTATTACTGGTAGTGGCTTCCTTTTGCAATATGATCTTTTATTAACTCCTTTATCTTGGATTGTAGTTCCAAGCTCTAAAGCTATATTCTTGATTTCTTTATTTCTGTTTTTATAATAATTTTTTTTATGAAAATGAGAGCAGTAGATTGATAAGAAGTTATCTAACTTGAGCTGAAATCAACTTTTTAATTTAAGTGATTTTATTTTAGAAATCTACCTAGATCTCAGAGAAAATTTAGGCTAGCCCCTAGCATTATTATTTTATAATCAATGTTGATCTATAAAAGTTAGCAGTTTATTTTTGAATTTTTGAGTCTGGTAAACTTTCAAATTTCAAGGTTATGTAAACACTTAATTTTGGACTTGTGTGAACTCTTTAAATTTGGACTTGTATGAACTCTATAGATTTGGACTAGTTTAAACTCCTTAAATTTGGACTTGTGTAAAATCCTTAAATTTGGACTTGTGTAAACTCCTTAAATTTGGACTTGTGGATACTAAATTTTGTGATTTATTAATTCCAATTAGAAATGGATCACTTGGTTAATGAATTTGACAAATGATATTTTTAGTTCATCCCATGTACTGTATATTTATCAAGTGAATGTTTTATTTTAGGGTCTTGTGAAAAGAGGGCAAAAGCGACAAGTAAGAATGTTTTTAAGAAAGGTAACAATATTTAAAGACCATAATCCTAGAATTTTATATTGCAACCTGAGTTTAAACATGAACTATGAATACAGATTGTCTATAAATCTGACTTTTGATCTCTGAGAACATGCTCCTTGAAACTGATGATCATCATATTAATATGCGAAGCGCATTTCACTTCATTTATTGACTATTTATATTTCGCATATAATTGACTACATTATCAATTCATGACGACTGCAAAACCTATTTCTTACAGTTCCTGAAACTTTAAGTTAAAGATACTGGTTCTATAACAAATCTAGCAGCTAGCCTATCAAATAGCATATTTCCACATTTATTAAATTGTACATTAATATGTTTGAATCAGTTTATCTTGTATTTTGAAATTTTAGGTGATATTGTATTATGTCCTCTACAGTATGGTGTATGGTGGCCTGGCTATATTGTTAATTTTGTTTCTGAAAATAAAGTCACCATTGGATTTTTTGAAGAGAATCAAGTGTATGTATTTTTTTTGTTTTTTGTTTGTTCAAATTTCATAAATTAATGAAATACCATTTAAGCCTTTTAAGAAGAAAATATACACTACTCAGACTACATTACGTCACAAAAGGAAATTATTCTCTAATTTTTCATCACTCTTCCATATATAAATCTCTTTTTTTCTTTATTTGTAAACAAATGTTTACTTTTGTAAATTTATTCCCTTACAGAAACATAACTCCATTATCTAAAGTTGTAGGCATATCATTTCAAGATGCAAGTCTTCTGATAATGTCTAGTTCAAGTAATTTACATATATTCAATCCTTATTTTTTATTGTTATTGTTAAAAAATTTTTTTAATTTTATTAAAGTTTAAATGTTTACAGAGTTAGTTACATGTTTAGATTAAAATATTACTTTTCTGCATGCTCAGTTCTTTAAAAAAAAGTTTATCACCAATCAAGAAAATCATTTATTTAAAAATCATAGCATCTAAAAATAAATAGAGGGTAGGCAACCTTTTGGAGATTGCCCCTTATGGAGTGAAAACTGCCTCAAAATTCAGAGAGTATCTACATATTTTAAGGGGTTGCAGTTTGTATGACCACTTAATTTGGTTAATACATGCACTTTGGTGTTGAAGTTTATATATTAAACTCTGCTATGATATTTTTCAGAAATACTAAAGAAGAAAAAGAGTGATGCAAAGTTTTTCAGTAATCAAGGATATAATAAAGAAGAGAAAGTTGAAAATAATGACATAAATGGATTTGATTTACAGAATAGAATTAATGATGAAAGTAATGAAACCAAAGCAGAAAATATAATTGATGATAGAATTGATGATGAAAGTAATAAAACCAAAGCAGAAAATAGACTTGATGATAGAATTGATGATGAAAGTAATAAAACCAGAGCAGAAAATATAATTGATGATAGAATTAATGATGAAAGTAATGAAACCAAAGCAGAAAATATAATTGATGATAGAATTAATGATGAAAGTAATGAAACCAAAGCAGAAAATATAATTGATGATAGAATTGATGATGAAAGTAATAAAACCAAAGCCGAAAATAGAATTGATGATAGAATTGTTGATGAAAGTAATAAAACCAAAGAAAATAGAATTGATGATGAAAGTAATAAAACCAAAGCAGAAAATATAATTGATGATGAAGGTAATAAAACCAAAGCAGAAAATAGAATTGATGATGAAAGTAATAAAACCAAAGCAGAAAATAAAATTGATGATAGAATTGATGATGAAAGTAATAAAACCAAAGCAGAAAATAGACTTAATGATGAAAGTAATAAAACCAAAGCGACCAAAGCTGAAAATAGAATTGATGATAGAATTGATGATGAAAGTAATAAAACCAAAGCAGAAAATAGACTTGATGATGAAAGTAATAAAACCAAAGCAGAAAATATAATTGATGATGAAAGTAATAATAAAACCAAAGTAGAAAATAGAATTGATGATGAAAGTAATAAAACCAAAGCAGAAAATAGAATTGATGATAGACTTGGTGATGAAAGTAATAAAACCAAAGCAGAAGATAGACTTGATGATAGAATTGATGATGAAAGTAATAAAACCAAAGCAGTAAATAGAATTGATGATGAAAGTAATAATAAAACCAAAGTAGAAAATAAAATTGATGATGAAACTGTTGACTGTGTTCTTGACTCTCTACTTATTATTGAAGATTGTCATCATTCAGAAGAAACCACAGATTTGACTGATGAATCTGGAGATGATCCCGATTTTGTACCAAATAGTGAAGATGAAACCTCAGATGAATGTGAAGGAGAACTAGACATTAACAGAATTCCTCAAGTTTCTGACACTGATAAATTTAAATCCACTCCATGTTCATTAAATAATACCGTATTAGAGCAAAATGAAGCTGTTAGTTTGGTGAATGAGGAAGAGCGTTTATATGATGTAGATCACCACGAAGTATTTATCAAAGTTTTATATAAAAATATAAATTCATCTCTTGGAAGACCTTATGATAGAAGGCATGCATGTAAATTTTGCAAGAAACTGAAAACTAATATTCAAACCCATCTCGAACATGCCCACAAGGCTGAGGCCGAAATAATAAAGATAGCTGAATTAAAACGAGATGTTGCTATGTCACCAAACCCAGAACACACAAAAAATTTACACAAATTACAAACAGAACTTCGCAATGAAGGAAATCATCAGCACAACCTACAGGTTTGTTCCTTGAAAAAAGGGGAAATAATTTTAGGAAGAAGAAGTCATAATGATACATTTCATCTATCAAAATATGGACCTTGTCTCTATTGTAAAGAGTGGATTATTCTTGACAATTTACCAAGGCATTTGAAATCCTGCTGTTCTGTTACCAGCACTGAAACTGTAAATGCAGAAAAAACTACAGCAGGATCAGCTATTATCCAGTCCAAAATTATCAAAGGCCAAATAACAACAAATCCCTCTAAAAGTGTTCTTAAAGAAGTTTTCCCTTCTATGAAAAGGGACAAAATCAGTGAAGTGGCTAAGAATGATGAGCTTATAGTGGCCTTGGGAAATGTTTGGTTTATGAAAAACATCGGAAACAAACTGAGGAGAAATAAACTTCACTAGTTTTAGGATACTTTCAGCACGACTATTAATATTACTGAGGGAATCCTCAGGCTATGGAAATGCATCCATGAGTGAGTTTTTATCTACCGAGCATTTTGACCGAGTTGTTGAATGCGCTTTAAAAACATGCGAAGAAGATGAGGAACAAGAGCTAAGAAATCCAAGCACAGCCTTAAAATTATCCTTCGATGTGGACAAACTATGCACTATTAAATTAGGTCTGTGCATGCGAACCCGAGATGAAAGGGGTAAACAAGATTCAATTGATTTCAAAAATTTGATCCAATTGGAGTGGAAAACCAAAGTAACAAGATTAGCACAAGCAACACTACAAGATGGCTTTTATAATAAAGCAAAATGTTTGCTGTACCCAGAAGACATTGTGAAAGTATCTGCTTATCTAGTGAAGGAGTTAAAAGAAATTGATCTTTCCAAAGAAACCGAAGTGTATCAAGAAGTCATAATTTTGACCCAATGTCGACTTCTTCTATTTAACAGAAGAAGGCCAGGGGAACTTGAAAGTTTGAGGTAAGAGGTTTTCATTCTTTGTGTTCAAATTTTAGCCATAAATTGTTATGTCCCCCTTTATTTGTTTGCTCACATTTTGTCTATCTCGTTTTCTTTTTTGAATTTTTGTTTGTGGATTATTAGCATGATTTTAATGTAATGCCTTAACGATTAGCTTATTGGATCTTGGTATATATAATGGGGCCTCTACTGAAGTCAATTGTTGATTCACAATATCAGGGCCCTCTTCTTTTTTTTTACAGCATAGCTTCTTATTTGAACAAACCAGGTTTAGATGAAAGAGAAGTCGACTTGAGAAAAGACCTTACTAAATTTGAACAAATGCTGCTTTCTTCTCAAGAGTTAGTAGAAATCCGGGGAAAGGTACATTTATGATTCATGATTTGCGCTTTGCAGTTAGTTAAATCGTACACCACAATTGTTGTTTATATATACGGGTATATTTACATTTTTGGTCACATGCTACAGTACATCTTGTGCGTTCATTACCAATGAACTACAAATTTCCTAAGTGATGTCAAATGACGTTTTTACGATGTAATGATTTCCTTTGACAAAAAATAGATATAGTAATGTAATATATATACACCAGTTGTATATTTCTTTTTCAGACTGGAAGAAAAGTGCCCGTTATCATTCCTTCTGAATGTATCAAAATGTTAGAATTTCTGTCTAATCCAGAAATCAGATTGAAATCTAACATTAATAAAGAAAATCAATATATGTTTGCCAACACAGGTAATCAAATTAAATTATATGTATTCATTTTTTTTTCTTTTCCAAGAAAACATTGATTTAATTAAACTTGCCAAAGTTACATAATGTAAAACATCATTTAGTATAGTATCACATCTTAACTGTCCACTTCTATGAACTCTTAACCTTTTTTTATCTAGGTTCTGGAGTAATCCGTGCTGGAGAATCATTGAATAACGTAAAGGAGCGGCTTGAACTAAGGGGCTCATCTAGAATATTGGCCACTAATCTTAGGAAACACACAGCAACCATATCACAGGTAAAGTCTAGTTTTGTTGAGATTTATTTCAATTTTATATATATATTATGTGTTTTTAATATTAAATAGACCTCTTTCTGAACTGTCTAATGCTAGTATGTTGTCTAACTAGAAGGGTTGCATAAGTTGTTACAGAACAGCAAGCAAGCCTTTCCTTTTCAGCAACACCTGTCACAGTAGACATCACAATATGATATTTCAGGTTTAATGTAATTTTCACTATGGTGGCTCTCCAAAATTATCTGTTCTTAGTATGTTATTGATCTTTTCTTATTTACTTTTGTAATTCAGATTGTAAACCTTACTGACCAGGAGTTGAAAAACCTTTGTCGACACTTAGGTCACACACAAAGAGTCCATGAAAATCACTATAGACAAACTCTTGGTTTGGTGGAAAGGATAGATATTGCCAAATTGATGATTATGCAGGAGCATAACCTTATAGCTACTTATGCAAATAAGAAGCTCTCAGAAATTCAGTTTGATGGTAATTATCATACAATTTTGTTTCTCATCCCATAATTACATGTAAGTGATCATTTTGTGTCATCTACTGCCATAATGTTTTAGTGGCTTACTCTCTATGTTATTAAAGCGATACTACCTCTTAAAATTAAAAATAGAATTCTCAAACTTGGCCAATAAGAGTATATATTTATCAAATGTGTGTGCAGAATACAAACAGATTCAAATAAACCATTAGACTATATAATTTTCCATAAAATTACACATTAGTTTTGAAAACGCTCAATATTTTGTATTTCTTGAAGTAATTATAATTATATAATATATAAGGTAGTTTTCAGAATTTATCAGATTATACAAGTTATCTGTTGTATAGTTATGACACTATATGAATTTTGCTTTTTTGATCATTCTAAGAGGTTGTATTCCTTTGATTTTGAAGACATAATTGAAATTTGTTTTGTCTAGTTTCAGAGTGTTTATTGACTAGTCTTTTTGTTAAAGAGAAATCTGTCTTATTTTAGAAATTCTTGAAAACATAGAAGAACCTGAAAGTAAATCAACTAATTCGGAACCAGCGGACGCAGATGTTACAGGTATGTTTTGTATGTACTTAAAGTTAGCAGATCAAATGGTGGTATTAATTGTTTTCATGGTTAAATGCACGAATTTAAAAGATAAATTTGATTCCAAAATAAGGTACACCCTGCCTTTGACTTATTGGAATGAAGGCAACAAAATAACAAGAACAAAAAATCAGGGATATCATTTGAAAGATTAAAATAGATTACACAATAAAAAAAAATTGCTTAAATTCAAAATAACCAACTGTTTTAATTTTAGTGAAAATAAAAGGAAAAATCTGTATGTAAAATGAAAACTGTATAAGGAATTTTTTTTTCCAGTCTCTCCAAATGATGATACATTATTTGAAAAACCTAAACGAAAGCAAGGTTTGACTTTTTTTCTTACATATTCGAATGATTATTTGTGAGCCCTTATGTTAAAGGAATACTACCTCTAAGAATGATAAAAAAAGCAAAATTCTGAAACTTGTATTGAAACTTGGTGAATAAGAGTTAATATTCATTAGGCAACTTGTCTGGTGTCATAACTATACTGTAAAATCTGATAAATCAAGAAAAGTACCTCATATATTATAAAATAAACCAAATAGTAAGCGTTTTATCAAGTGTTTTTCAATAATAACCTGTAGTTTTTCAGAAATTTACTTAGTTTTATGGTTTATTTGATTCTGTTTGTATACTGTAGACACCATTGATGAATATCATACTCTTATTGGCCAAGTTTGAGAACTTAATTTTTTATTATCATTTTTGGTATCACTTGAAAAGATAGTGTTAGGTGATAAATCCATTTCATGTTTTTCAATTTCAGTCAACCGTGTTTGCTGGACACAACAAGAAGAAAAGGAAATAAGAAAAAGATTTAAAATATATTTTGATGAGGGGACAAAAACATGTCCATCTAAGTATGACTGTAAAGAAGCCTTAAGAAAATCTAAAGAAGAAGGTGGAATGATTGTAAGAAGATCATGGGAAACATTAAAAAAAAAAGTTAACAATATGTTAAAACGGGCTCAAAAGTAATGGCCTTTGGTGGACTTGTTATTTTTATACGCGGTATGTGGTTGTATATTGCTGTTTCCCCTGTTCGTCAGTCTTTCCGTCAACATTTCGTGACCACTATAGAGAGTACAGTTTTCATTGGATTTTTAATAAATTCAAGTTTGAATTTGACGAGTTGTCGATGAATGATTTTGAGGTTATTGCCTTTGCAATTTTACAGTTTTTGTCTGATTTGAATGAAATTTGGTGTGAGCATTTTTATTAATAATTTCGCCATTAAGTCAATTTTGATGAAGGGTTTTTGAGCTATTGACCTTGACTTAGAAATCGAGCCAAAATTTTTTCGTGGTCACTATAGAGACTATTGAAAGTCAATTTGAGCATTGGTATTAATAACAACATACTCATTTACGATGAAGGTTTTTCGATTTATTGCACTTACCTTTGATTTTCTTGTCACAATTCTAGAGTCTACAGTTTTTATCGGATTTTAATGATGACTGTTTTTGAGTTATTACACTTGACTTAGTACAATGGTACAATTATTAAAATCTGCTTGTGATCTCTACAGAGACTACAATTTTTAATTAATGTTAATGGAAATCAGTGCAAGCATTGGAATTGATAACATTGGGCTCATTTACGATGAATGTTTTGATGAAAGTCATTGCCGCTTGATGTCAACATTTGCTTGTGACCACAATAGAGACTACTTTTTTCAATTGATTTTAATGAAAATGTTTTGAACATTTGGATTGATTACATAGAAGTCAAGTTGGAATTTGATGAGTTTTCAATGAATAATTTTTGATTTATTGCCCTTGATCTAACATCATGTAAAAATCGAAATGAAGATTTTTGACTGCTGCCGGTGGGCTTATATTACCTTGTCTGGCTATCCCCTAGTAATTTTGTGTTATGGGGTTATATATACTGATCTTCTAAATTGAAGTGAAAAGTCAAGAGATTTTTTTTATTAAGCTGGATAACTGTTCATTATTTGACTTTATTTTTTTTTCATTTGTAACTGTTACCTGTCAAGCCAAGAGAGTTTTGATTAGAAAGAGAATTTTTTATTTTTGAATAAAACTGCTAACTCTTACAGTTTGTGTTTATTAAGTGCGTTGTAGATCTTGATCCGACCCAACACCAAGATTTTGACATAAAGATCTCACATATATTACATATTCAACATATTTAATCCAAAATTTAAACCAGCCAGATAATCTCAGAAATAGTGTTGTTGTCTCTTATTTGATTT